AATTTTCAAGTGAAAAATTACTCTAGATATATGCATTGTTCATGTTATTTATCATTTCTACTTGTCTTCATATTTCATTTATCCTTTTATTTGTTGTATAAGTATTTGACAATTTCTTATGGTTTTATATACATGCAATAATTAATATGTTTTTTTATTATTTTTACAAAATTTTCACATTTTACTATAGATAGCATTGTTCATTTTATATGATGAAGTTTTCTCTTATAATGGAAAAAATAATAGGTTCTAATGTTAAGTATTCTTTTTATTTTTATTATTAAATATATGTTATATATGATAGACAATTTTTGTATATATTTTCAAATAATTATAATATGATGGTATACGTAAAACAAAATGATTTATAATGTACTTAATATAATGAATTAGAATATTATTATTAATATCAATCATATATAATTGATACTTCTCAAATATAACATGGAAATAAAAGAGAAATTAATAAATCCAAAAAAAAAAAAAAAAATTTAGGAAGTATATTAAATTTATAGTGTTAACAAAAATAGAGATACCTGCTTTAATAAATTATACAAATATACCAATATTGATGTAACTTATATTAATGAAATTAAAATAATCATATTTTGCATATAATGAAAAAAACTATAAAATTTAGTTCAACGAATAGTATCTATGATACATATAATTGTATATAATATTCACAGAAAATATATGTTATAACTGTCTTGTACGATATAATATATATTATTAAGAATTTCAAATAATTAATTTTACATTCATATTGTAATTATCATCGAATGTTTAAAATATATATAATTATATAATATATCCTATAAGCAAATGCATACCCATATTCCATATGACATGGTTTTATAGTAATTAGATGTGTTAAAATTTTTAAAAATAAGACAAAATCCTAAAAACAAATCCATAAACTTAAATTTAGTTATATATATTCTTATGAATGTTATTAGTAATTTTTTAATATATAATGAAATACATAGCTAAATATATGACACTTTTATTTTGCTTTATATCACTTTTTAGCATTTGTTAATAATGAAATCTCTTATAGAGGTAAATTTTTTGTACAATTCAAATTAATACTTGTCTTAAAACGTCAAACTTCTTTTTAAATCAATTATTTTATTTTTTTCGCAAATAAAAATATATATTTAAGCTTTTATAATAAATTTATAGGATGAAAACCTTAAAAAATTACCATCAAAAGTAAAGTATGCTATTTTCAATAATGCATCTGATAATTACAGCAGTTGTACTATTGAAAAAAATGTAATTAAACTTAAAGAAACAAATCCTGGGATTGAAAATGTTTATGACAAAATAGTTAAAGTCTTATGTCACGTATATAATAATGATTCAGCAGGAAGCTTTGATACAGCTGATTGTGATTACCTGTACTTTTGGTTATGTGATTTATTATATAGAAATTTAACATACACTAATTCGCTTTATACTGTTATGTATGCGATTAATCATATTCTGCAAAAAAGTAATGGTGTGTCCATATGTAATTTTGATAAATATTATTATTATAATATAAACAAGGAAATTTTTATGGATTTTAAGGTTTTATTTGATTACTCAAAAGATTATGATAAGCTCGTGCAAGATACAACTGCATCTAATGGGCCTTGTAGTCGTGACTATACGAAACTTCTTAATCAATATGTCATTGAATATAACAAGTACAAATTTTTCTGCAACAAAGAACCAAAACATAATATTAATTGTAAACTTTTTGAAGAGTTTTTTAAAAATAAGGATCCACAGAAATTGTGTAAATTGTCATGTAATTCACGAAATAATTATTATAAATATGCAAAACAAAAAGAACATCATAGTGGAGTGGCAGAATCAGGAGTAAAAACAGTGGAACAACGTACTAGTGAACGACAACAAGAATTACTTATAAGTGGTTTACATACAAGTCCATATGTAGATGTTTTATTAGGAAATACAAATAAAGAAGTAAATGTACAAGATTTAATCTATGATAAACAAGAATTATATCCTTTGGATATTGAAGGTCCACAGCAGAGTGCCTTTATTGATTTTTCAGCTTCTTCGTCTTCAAAAAATATGGTAATTCCTACTTTATTAATAGGAATTACAGTTCTTTCTGTTATACTGGGCAAAGTAATTGTCTATATGAAAAAAAAAGAAATGTGTATTACATTATATTAAGTAGAATTTATTAATTTTTAAGTCTAAAAATATTATGCATAATATATGTTCTATACACATCATATTTTCATTAGTTTACTCCAGTCGGGTATTGGTTAAAAAAAGCCTTAGTAGGAAAATCTAAAGGGAAATGTAATATTATAATGGATAGTAATATAACAGAAGATTATACTATTCCAGAAAATTTAGATTCATCGAGAAGGTTTCATGTAAGATATAGCAATATATATTAGTTCTGATTATGAGATTTAAAGGAATATTTTTCTTACATATATCACTATCATTATAAGAAATGTTATACAGAATTATTCACCTAAAAAAGGGGAAGGAATTATTTTATTTTGAATAATACAATAATAAATTTGAAATGTATATATTTATTATATAAATATGGGTTTTTTTAAAAAATTACTATATATATATTTTTTTCACATGCATAAACATATGGTAAAAATTATACACACATAAATTTCAAAATATATCGCTATTCAGGATTAGATTTATGCTTACATAAGTAGATTTATCATTATGTCTTATTATTTATTATTAGTACGTATGTACTTTATTTTTTTTTTTTGGATACAAATGGAATTTTTTTCTCTTTATTACATATATTACTTTATAGTGATGATAAACAATAGCAGAATATATTTTATGATAATAACTTACAGATGCATATTATATTAGATAATTGTTTTTATTTATATTTACTACATTATTGTACTATAACTAGAATATTATCGTAAATATGTATGTTCAAGTTCTTTTTATATATTTGTTGCTTATAATGATAAATATGTCTTTAATTATACTGTTTATTAATTACCATAAAGTTATCAATTTTTTATACTTCTATTTTTACTATTTTTATATTTATAATTTCTATTGCTTTTATTTTAATAAATTTGATTGGATATTTATTTTAAGCAGATAAAATATACACTATACATAATGGTGTGTTTATTTGTAATTATATATTTTATTAAAAAAACTATTAGTATTAGAGTTATTTATTTTACAGATAATATTGAACATTATATTTTTTAAATTTTATTAATTTATATAAAATTATTAATGATATATATAATAAAATGCATATTAATAAATAAATAAATGTCCTGCAATATTCAAAGTTATAATTATTCATTTTGTATTTCATTACACTTAAGTGTAATTTAGCGTTAATTTTTTCGTATATTTTTATTAATTTTTACTTTTGAGTACATTATATAATTTTTAGAGTATACACATTAATGAATGTATATATTAATTATTGGATTTATAAAGAATTAATTTCTTATATATATGATATATATGAATGTTTTAATATTAATAAGTGTTATATATTTATTAATATACATGTGTTTTATTCTTTGTAGATCAAGTGATATAATTATGTTCATTTAATATTTATAGTATTATATCATGTGTAAAAAAAATATGAAAGTATTCTTATATATATATTATATTTTTTTGTTATTTTTCGTCATTTATATTTTTGTTTAATATCAATTTATAATTAATTATGTAATA